TCCCCAGACCCACCGCGCAGGCTTCCCGCCTTCCCGCCTTCCGGGCCGGCCGCCCGCTCACCCGTCGACCAGGTCGTGGCACACGCCCCCATGCGCGCACGGCCGGCTCTGGCACTCGTCCAGGTCCTGCTGGCAGCTGGCGCCCCCGTAGCCCGGCGCGCACACGCAGCGGTAGGAGCCCACGCCGTCCAGGCACGAGCCCCCGTGCAGGCAGGGTGCCGAGGCGCACTGGTCCACCTCCACCTCGCAGTTCACGCCTGGACAGGGCCGGAGACACGGACGGTGGCAGGTCACGCAGAGGGAGGGCAAAGAGGCGCGGTCAGACCTGCCCAAACCAGTTCCAGTTCCAAGGATGGGGAGGTGAGGACCCACAGACAGCAGGTGCTTCTCCTGCCAGCGGTGAATGCTAACTGGTTAGAAACAAGACAAGCGTCCCTGCTCCCTTGAGCTCAGGCATCTAGCCCGGGAGATGGGTATTAAGTCAATGTTAACTAAATGTGGGCTGATTTTTCATTTTGATAAGCTCAACAATGAGAAAGTACTGGATTCTGTGAAAGCAATAGCCAGGATCTTGGCCTGGGGAATTGGGAGTCAGGGAGGCTTCTGGGAAGAAGAGCCTTTGAAGGTGGGTGGGGGGTGGTTCACTAGGCTAGGCTAGGGGGCTGTGTCAGCAGTTGGATTCCAGAGAGACTGTTGGTCAAGACCTGCTTGGGGTCATGGCAGGGCAAAGGAAGCAGCAGGGCAATAAGGAGGGGGTGGAGGAGGAGAGGCAGGGTACAGGGTGGCCAGGCCTTGGGGGGGTCAGGTAACACGATCTGAGGTTATCCTGAAAGTTTTAAGCATCCGAGTTACACGGTCTTGTCTGCATTTTAAAAGGCTCACTCTGCTGGCTTTGAAAAGGGTGTAAGGATGGATTCCAGAGAGGAACATACCCAGGCGGGAGATGCTGGAGTAGGGTAAGCAACTCCTGGTTTTCCCTGCATTGCCTTGCTTTTAAAACTGAAAGCCCAAGTCCTGGGTAACCCCTCAGTTCCAGGCAACACCCAGAGGGTTGGGTGGCCCTCGGGAGAGGAGGCTGTGGAGGTGAAGGGAGATGGGGAATCCCAGTATGGAGATGTACTGCCGAGTTTGTCACATGTCTCTGTAGATTCCAGTGGTCCTGCCCCTGCCCCCTAAGGGGGATTGGTCATGGGGAATGATTGGTCATGGGAGGCCAGGGGCCCAGATGTCTCCAGCAGGAATCTTACCGCCTTCCTGGCTCAGTGAGCACAAAACACAGCTCCTCCTCCCTGTGACCCTGCGCTCCTCTTGCCCTGGCTCCACTCCCACTCTCTGTGCCAGGGAGAGCCAGGCCCAGGCGGCTTGGAATCCCAACCTCCCCCGCCTGGCTGGGAACGGAAGGAGGAGCAGAGAAGTGAGTCACACAGACACTGCCCCCACTCACATCTCACCCAAAAAGCATTCCCCAGAGCGTCTGTGCACCACACATCTGGGTGTGCACACACCTGCTGGCACTTACACAGTCAACGTTTTAGCACAGAGGCATTCAGGGAGCCCAGACAGCCCGGAAGGAACAGCTCTGTAGCAGGACTAGAGTGGCTGTACCTGAGGGCTGCCAGGATGCCTGGAAGGGAGGAGGAGGGGTGTCTGTACTAAAGTCAAAGCTGAATCTGCTCCTTCACACACTGAGCCAAAGGGATCAACATTTCATACCTCCTCCGGGCACAGGCAGGGCCATTACCTGCATAATCAAGGGGGCAGTGGCACTCATATCGATCGGCCAGGTTGTGGCAGGTCGCCCCATGGTGGCAGGGCCGGGATGCACACTCATCGATGTCCAGTTCACAGCGTGGGCCCTGGAAACCCGGCACACAGTAACAGCGGAAGTCACTAGGATCTGGGCCCTGGGGCACACACAGAGCATCATGGTAGCAGGGCTGGGTGGCACAGCCCCCGGGCTCTGTGGGCCTGCAGGAGTAGCCGCCCCTCTCTGTAGCCTGGCACTCAGTCCCTGGAGTGCATGGGTCTGAGGCACAGGCACTCAGGGTCTCTGAAGGCACTGTTCCTGTAGAGAGAGGAGACAGGATAGGCAGGGGCTACCAGACACTCCCCGCCCCACACTGACTCATCCCTAGACCCCAGAGCCAGAAAGCAGAGGGGTCTGTTCACACTCAGTAAGGTGGAGAGTGGGCCAGGGCCTCTACAAGCCAGGTCCCAACAGGCTGCACACATCTGCACCCAGAGCTGGGACCAGCTTCAGGAGCCTCTCCATAGCAGAGAAATAGGACGTGGGGTACTAGGCTCTCTGCTCAGGATTGGTGAGCAGGCAGTGACCCTGGGAGCTCCGCTTCAGAGTCTCATCACATTCCTGCAGCGCCTCTTCGAAGCAGGCTCTGTCATGCCCATTTTACAAGAGGTCAGACTGAGGCTCGAGAGAGAGCATGAGGACTTGCCTGGGGCCACACAGCAAGTTAGTGTTGGGACGGCCTTCCAGGTCTGCCCACTCGTGTTAGCCCCACTGGGGAGGGGGTATCCTCTGGGTCTCCTGTCTGTGACCCACTCCCTCCCAGAAGGCCCAGGACAGAGCTCTTCCCACTGCCCCCTTCACCACTCCTGCTGGGGATCTGGTAACTCCATCCCTGTGTGAAATTAAGTGAAATCGAAGATGGAAGGCTTCAAGGCCCTTCTTTCCCACCCCCTCCCCACCCCACCTGGCTGCCCTGGGAACTTCTCATGGGACCCCTGGCCCTCACTGTACCCCCATCAGCAAATTCTTGAGCAGCTGGCCTGGCTAAGGTGACAGGGTACAGAGCAGGTATTGAGACCTGCTGACAACACCTGGCTCTGGCCACTGTGCTGCCTGGACTGCTGAGCTCCCTTCCTCCCATCTGTATAAATCTGGAGTAAGAACTCACTCACTCAGGCTTTGGAGTAAAACAGCCTGGGTTAGATCCCAGCTCAATTACTAGCTCTGGAACCTTGGGCAAGTCATTTCTCCTGCGGAGCTCCATTTCCCAGTCTGAAAGAGAATGCTAATAGTCCATGCCTCACGGGATGTGTTAGGACTCAGAGCCTCAGTGCCCACTTGTAGGAACTCAGTAAGTGATGGGGGAGGGGACTGTCCACAAGAAGGAGGCAACTTCCCCCCCAACTGGGGCTCTGAGAGGTGCCCCTTCCCCGGCCAAGTTGTCATCCAGACACTAACCAGGCCCTGCACCTCCCTTCCCCCACCCCGGTGAAGACCCCCAGATAAGGTTCAGCAGCCTCTCAGGCGTCATCCACATTCCACAAGGCAGGGCTGTCCACTGGCCGACCCCCACCCTTCCCAGCCAGGGCCAGGCAAGATGGGGGACAGGGAGATGGAAATACTGATCAATAAATAGACCCAAAGGGAAAACCCAGCTGTCACCCCAACCCTGAAGCACCTGGGACAGCTCAACATGGGCTCCCTCACTCCCAGCCCCAAACTGGGGGTGTTAGTGCTCACCCAGGGTCAGGTACGGAGCAGAGGGCCTCAAATGCTGTCCAACCAGATGACTGTCTAGGGCCATGGGGTCCACAGACCCTCTCTGCCCACTGCTCCTCTCACTACCTCGGGGCATTCATCCCCAGCCCCCTCCCCCAAGCCTGGTCATAGGGGTGAGTGCAGGGGTATCTGGGCCTCTCTGGGGGGCCTGTGGGCAGCCCATCCTTCCTTTTCCCATTCCAAGTGAGAGGCTGTGGCTGATCCATTTACAGCCACAAGGCTAGATGGTGTGATGGGGGTGGGAAGGTGATCTGAAGAGGTTGGGAGTGGATCGAGCTCTCTCATGGAAGGAACAGGTGTGGGCATCAAACAGGCGCAGCTTGGGTCCCAGGTGCAAACACTGCCCACCTTGTGGGGTGTTGTAAGGAGCCACCGAGGTCACAGGAGTGAAGCCCTGGCACCCAGTGGACCCTCAGTGAGAACTCTGGCTATTATGATCAGGGTCTGTTTATCCAACCCAGCTCAGGAGGACAGCACAATAATCAGAGCTCCAGGGAAGGGCCCTGGCCCTGGGTACTGTGCTATTTAATTCCAGCAAAGCGCCACCCTCATCCCTGTGGCCCAAGGGATCCCACCCCAGTCAGGAGCTTTGCCCCTGGTTCAGAGTGGGTGGGACCCAGCTGGGTACACAGCGCCTGAAGGATGGGGAAGGTGGGAACAGGTGGGCTGTGGCCCTCAGTGACAGAGCCGGTGGAGAGGAAGGAGTTCTTGCTGTCAGGGCCAGGCCGAGGGAGGGAGCTGCCTGTCCCAGGAGGCATGCAGTAGCACCCACAGCCTGCAACTGAGGGACAACCATAACTCCTATGTAACGTCAGGTAATCTTCATCTTGACCTGAGGAGTTGGGTGGCACTATTACTCCTGCTCCACAGCTGAGGAAAGTGAGGCTCAGAGATGAAGCACAGCCCCATGGCGGGTTAGAGTCCAAACCCAGAGCTCCCTACTGCGGGGCCTCCCCTCAGCTTCCAGAACCCCGGCCCCTCCGCCTGTATTAAGAATCCCCATTCCTGGGCCCCGCTCCAGGCCTAGAGATTCAGAGCCCCTGGGCTGGGCCGGAGACTCTGCATTGCAGCGTGCTCCCTGGGGATTCCTTTGCACTTTGAGGTTTGGGAACTGCTGACCTCTGGTTCTCTGTCTACCAGGAGAGAGTAGGGAGGCCAGGCCAGCCCCAGGCGGAGGGGAGGAGAGGGAAAGACCCAAGGGCAGGGGAGGGGCCTTCCTAGGGGCCAGGCTGGAGGGGCGGGGCCTGTTGCCAGGGTGACGAGGGGCCTGCGCTTATCTTTACAAATCCCTGCTGACCTCTAAGGCCGCCTGGGATGACCTGGCAGGGGAGGGATTAACTGACATTGCCCCTCCCCTCCAACCTGCTGCCCAGCTCAGGGAAGGCCCAGAACCCAAGCTACCAAGAAGGGAAGGGAAATTTCTCCGTGGACAGGGCAGGATTACAATAACAGCAACGGTTTACTGAGTGCGTACTATGTGCTCCGGGCTGTGCTATACATCTTGCATTTATTATTACATTAGTATATTGCTTTAAGCCGGAAGACATGGGTGCTGTTAAGAAAACTGTTTTTCTAACTCAGAGGTCATAAACTTGCCCAGGATCGTCCCTCTAAAGACTAAGAGGCAGATGTCTCCAGACTTCGGAGAGGCCCACACGCCTCCCAGGGCATGTGAAATTTCCACTTGGCAAACTCTAAATTGCCACCCTGTGCTACCATGGTAGTGCATTCCAGCCAGCTCCCCCAGGCACTAGAAGGGGTCTCTATGCACAAGCATAAGAAGGGAGATTCCAGTCCTGGCCAGGTGGCTCAGTTGGTAGGGCCATCATTCTGTACACCAAAGGCTGCAGGTTCAATTCTGATCAGGGCACATACCTAGGTTGTGGGTTCTATCCCAAGTCAGGACGCATTTGGGGTGGGGGTAGGGCAACTGATAGATGGTTCTCTCTCTCTCCCTCTCTCCCTTCCTCCTTCCTCTCTCTCTATAAAAATCAATTTAAAAAAAAAAGAATGGAGGTTCCAGGATCTGCCAGCAGAGCAGGCAGTCCTCCGTGTCTGTCCAGAACCTGGCAGCTAGCAATCCCCCTGGGCTTCAGGCCTCACTCAGTGCTCAGTGACTCCTGCTTTCTGGGCACATCTAACAGGCCTAGTGATAACTGCCAGCTACTGATGAGAATTGTTTCCTGAGGGTGGATTTTGGGAAGCTTCTTGTCTTGACAAGGCGAGAAAGAGAATATTCTTAGGAAGCGACCCAGCGACTTTAGGTGTTGGGCACACGATGCAGTATACAGATGATGTATCATAGAATTGCACACTTGAAACCTATATAATTTTATTAACCAATCACCCCAATACATTTAATAAAAGTAAATTAAAAAATAGACTTAGCCCTGGCCAGTGTAGCTTGGTTGGTTGGAGCATTGTCCCGTATACCAAAAGGTCACGGGTTTGATTCCTAGTCAGGGCACATACCCGGGTTGCGGGTTCGATATTCTGTCAGGGTGTGTACAAGAGGTAATGTTTCTCTTTCTCTCCCTCTCCCTTCCTTTCTCTCTTCAAAATCAATAAAAACATCCTCAGGTAAAGATTAAAATAAATAAAAATAAAAAGATATAATCTAAAAGTCAAAGGGAAAAATTTTTACAAAGAAGCAACCCAGATCTCATAGACCTGGAGCTCCTGGCCAAAGGGAGGTGTTCATCTCACATCAGTACACCCCAGGGCTAGGACTAAGTGCAGGCGGGAAAGTTGGAAGACTTTTTCACAAATGTTTACCCCTGAGGTTAAAAGGCCTAATTTTGATAACAGTAACCACAACAATAACTGTTGGGGATTCATGTCCTACCTCGTTCCTGGCACTGACACATCCCAGCATTTCCAAACCATGGTCTCAGAACACTGGGGCCGGGGAGGCACTTCCTCATGAAGGCCGGACAGAGCAAGTGGGGCTGCGGCCTGCTGCCCAACAGGCCACTGTAATTATTTCACCTTTAACTGCCAGTGGGCTTCTGGCTTCTGTCTAAAGTTTCCTTTGAAACTGAGGTTTCCATGCCAAACCTAAGTTGAAGAGCCAGGGCATTTTCTCATCAGGTCTTGTAATGGTCCTTGGAGTTAGCTAGTTTGTCCCCTTTAGACAGAGGCACAGAGAAGTGACTTTACATCAGCTGGTACCATAGTCTGCTGTGACATCCTGTCACCCACTAGCTCTGTGACTCTGAGCAGGTTACTGACCCTCTCTGGGCCTCACTTTCCTCCTCAGTAAACTGAGGGTCTCATAGGGCTGTGGTGAGTCCATTAAATTGACCATGTGAGTCCAGTAGCCCAGCACTGACCACGTAGTGGCTGATGCTATTATTTAATTATTTGTCAACAAATCTTTACTTGGGGCAAACACTGACTGTCCAGCAAATCCTGACATTGGGCCACGTGTGTGTGTAGCTCTTTGCTCCTTGCCTCTGTCCTGCAGGCCCCAACCCAGCTCTGGTTGGAGGAGGGGCCAGACTTGGGGACTGGCCCGTTGCCCCTTTGTCAGCCAGGCTCCCTGGGTATTCTGGGAGCAGGAGGGATGTGAGAGCCCAACGTGCCCCATTGTACTCTGAGATGCCTGGTTCTCTCCTAGCAACCATCGGGGCCTTTGTGGCAGTGTGGGCTCAGGATGGAGGGGCCAAGCTCAGGCCTGGCAGAGGTGGGGGCCCAGGGCCTTCAGAGCCTCCGTGCCCTCGGATGGGAATTGCTTTTCAAGTGATACAGTCCCCGGCCCTCTCCTCCTGCAGTCAGGCCTGGAGTACTGGCATCCAGAAATAATCGTGCCCACAGTGCCCCTACCCCAGCTTTCAGGGATCCCCAGGGAGGGGGCTTCCTGCACAGAAATTCCAGGGGAAAGGCTGCTCTCAGAGACCCCAGCAGGGTCATGTGTGGGTGAGGGTTTATGTGAGTCCGTTTCCTTCTGTAGCATCATCTACTTTGTGTTCACTCTGCCTCAGGGTTCACGTGAATGTGCACCTGTGTGAGTGCACACATGTTGACATATGCGCATTGGTGGGGGCAGGTGTAGGTGTGTGTGTGGTGGGCCTACGTGTGCCTGTGGACACCTGTTCATGAGGTGGTCTGTGCCCTTGTGCATGCCACGCCTGTGCACAGATGTGTGTGTGCATTTGTGTGTATGTATGCACAGGTGTGATTTGTGTGTGCTCGAGCATGTGTATGTGTGTGCAGGTGCAGGTGTGCATTTGTGTGCACACATGCATGTATGTGTGTGTACACTGTAGGACAGAGGACAGGCACCAGATCCACAGACCAGGATTTCTTGTCCAGCGGTTCAGAGAGCAGGCCCCAGCTCCTCTCATGAGCCCCACACTTGCCTGGGGGGCCCGACTTTAAGCCCCATCCCTCCATGGGCTTCATTTTCCTCCACTGCAAAATGGGGTCCTCACTCTCCCTAGGGGCCCTGCGGAGAGGGGGAGGCGACGAAGGCTTTGTGAGCCAGGCCCCATGAGAGGCCAGAGGAAGGGGTCTAGGGGGACCTGACCCCACACCCTGGAAGCCTGAGGAGGTGGCGACTCCCCCAGCTGCAGTGGAGCCCAGGCCACCGCCTGCTTAGTGGCAGGGGGTGGGGGACATCCTAGGCCTGGCCCTAGTAGCCATAGTGACCAAGACAAAGTGTCCCCCAGACCCCCCAGGAAGAATTCCAGGCCCTCACACACATGAGTCCCCTTGGACAAAAGCAGAAATGGTTCGGCAAGTGGAGTCTGGCTTCGGGAAGCCCTTTCAGCTCCGTCTGGGAATGCCTGGGGGGCAGCAGTGGACGCCATGCTCCCAAGGCCCCAGCCACCCCTGGGGACCACAGAGCACCTGCAGCCCCCCAGTGAAGGCATGGGGAGGGTGTAGGCAGAGACCGGCTCCCCTGGGTCTCCTCCCCTTCTCCAACCCGATCCACTGGCTGGGTCTGCTGCCCCCACCCCAGGCCCCCATGATACAGTTCAACCCACTGGACAACTTATACCCCACAACTCACGCTGGGACACAGCCCAGTACACTGAGAAAGCCTCAGACACAACTCAGGTTCACCAGGTAGTTCATCCTACATCACAACTTTACCACACCCCCACCTGCACCCCACAACCCAGCACAGGCCTCACAACCCGACACTCTCAGCCCCAACACCCCTCCTAGGGCACACAGCCCACCCATTACCTAGATCACAGCCGGCCCACAAAGCTCCTCACAAAGCCCCTGGACACACAGTAACAGCCCCCAAGTCCCAGGACACACTGGCTTCCACACAAGTTCCAGTGGCCACAGCAGCACACTCACCCGCATCCTACAACTCAGGCCTGCACCCCTGCCCTACAGTTGTGCCCGCACCCACAGGGCCAGCCCCAGGACCTGGGGTGTCCGCTTTGGGAGACAGAGCTTGCCTCAGGTCCCCCCAAGGCTTGTCTCCAACTCACCAGCCAGGAGGGCAAGAGCAGGGACCCAGAGCAGCAGCAGCAGCAGGAAAGGGGCTGGGAGCCTGGGGTCCCGGGTCCCCGGCCTGGCCAGCGCCATGGCAGCAAGCTCTGCTCCTCGCTATGGGAACAGGCGGCCTGGCCGGCTCCGCACCCCCCTCTCCCTCCAACCAGCACTAATGCGGTGGACAGAGGCCCGGCCCCTCCCTCCCTCCTCTCCCGCCTCCTCCCCGCCCCTGGCCCTCCCAGGCTGCTCCACCTTCAGGAGGACCCTGGAGGAGGGGTCTGACCCATCCAGCCGCCTCCAGCCCAGGGCTCCAGGCAGGCGTCGGGCAGCTGTGGTTCGGGCCTCACCTCGGTGCCCAGCACTTTCTCCCTCCTGACACCCCCACCCCCTTTCCTCCCACCTCCCAGGCTGTGCTGCCTCAGCCCCCTCAGAGCAACTTCTGTTCTGTGGGGCTGTTCTCAGCAGATGAGGCTGGCTACTCCCAAGTCCTCAGTTTTCCCACCATGCTGCCCCCCCCCAGCTCCTCTCAGCCTGGTCCCCCTCCCCAGCCCAGGCCGGAGCATCCAATAGACTCGGAGACCTCCTCTGTTGGCTCAGAAGCCCCAGCTTCTCCCACTCAGCTGCCACTTGAGCAAGGGCCCCCCACCCTGCAGCCCAACGCCCCCTCCCACACACACACTCGGTCAACCACAGCTCCTGGCAACTGTTCCTTCTCAGTGTCTGCCCCTCTCACCATGGCCCTCAGGAAAAGTCCCTGGTCTCTCTCCACCCTCCCCACCCCCAGCCATTTCTCCCCTTTGGCCTAGATCTTCTCTGCTGTCTGCAGCTCCAAATCTCATCATCATCCAAGGCAGCCCATTCTACAGAGTGGCAGCGCTAACTAAGCAAGCTTTCCTGCTCCCCCACTGGAAGTCCTCCTTGTTGTCTAATCTTGCAGTCTCCTGCTGCACTTGATGTTTGCTTGCTCCAGGCTGCAGAGGGCACTGTTGTTTGGGTGGAGAAGAGGAGTTCTTCAGGAGACCTGGACCCAGGAAGCCAGGTCATCTCAAACACACGACAACATCAAAAAACAGCCCCCGCCCGCCATTCTTCCACTGCCCTCAGCTCCAGGAGAGGCAGAATCCCCTTGCTGAAGGGACTTCCTGAACCAGCCACCAGCCCCTGCCAATGCATCCCCACTTGGCCCAATTCAGTGACTACAGACTCAGGCCACCCAGGCCCGGTGCTGGGCTCTGCGATGTGTCCCTGACGTCAGGAGGACACAGTCGTGAGAGAGACCTGAGCAGTGACTGAGGGTGCTCTCAGTCTGCTCTAGGGGCATGGGCCACGGCCCATGGAAGCTCAGGGAAAGGAGCAGTTGGCATCACATGGGGTGTGGGTAGCTGGGGGGCCCACACTGGTCCTCCAACCCAGGCAAGTGCTCAGAGAGGGAATCAAAGGTCTGGGTGGACCCCTTGTCCACATCCCTGCCCCATCTCCAACCCTGAGCCTTGTTCCCTCTGGGATGGGGGTTGCTCCTTGGATTCTGGGACTCTCCTCCCAAATCACCTTTAATTCCCTGCCTCTCAGTTCCCCCAGGAGCTCCTCCCCTGCTCTACATGGAAGCCCTTCTTCACCCCGTGGGAAAAGCACAGGCCCCTCAGCTAAGTAGATCCAGGTCTGAGCCCAATTCCACCACCAATAGCGGAGTGACCTCAGCCAGGACTTCCTTCCCTGGGCCTCAGTTTCGCCATCTGTAAAACGGAAGTGATAACAGTTCCTCCCATGGAAGGCTTTACAGTAGTCCTCCTTATCTGTGGGTTTGTTTTCCACAGCTTCAGTTACCTGTGGTGAACCACAGTCCAGAAACATTAAATGGAAAATTCGAGAAATAAAGAATTCATAAGTTTCAAATTGCATGCCACCCTGAGTTCCTCACTTCATCTCATCACTTAGGCATCGTATCATCTCACATCATCACAGGAAGATCGGTGAGTAAAGTATAGTAAGATATTTTGAAAGAGACATCACGTAACTTTTATTACAGTATTACAGTTCTAAATGTTCTGTTATTCGTATTTATTGTTGTTAATCTCTTATGGTACCTAATTAACAAATTAAACGTTATCATAGGTATGTCTGTATAGAAAAAACATAGTGTATGTATATATACAGGGTTTGGTACCGCCTGAGGCTTCAGGCATCCACTGGGGGTCTTGGACTGTATCCCCCGTGGATAAGAGGGGACTGCTGTAGTGATCTGAAGTAGCAATGCAAGTTCTCTTTATTTTGCGTTTCAGAGGTTCCCAAGGGGTCCAAGCAGCCCGGGGGAGTGAGGGAACAGGCGGGCGGCAAGGCCCCCAAAGCCCCGGGGGGCTGGATATGGAGACAAACGCCTGAGCTTTCACAGCGAGCACCAGGTTAGAGCAGGCCCGGGTCCGCCCATCCAGGCCCCACCCGCAGCCGCCGTCCTGCAGCTGCCGCGCGCCACCTTGTGGCCAAATATGGGACCACCTTCAGCCCACTGTCCCTAACGCCCTCCAGGCTTCTCTCCCCCGGCTTCCACCCTACCTTCCTGACTGTTACTTGCCCTCTTTGCTACCAAAATGTGGGGGTGTTTCGGGATCTGCTTCCAGCCCCCTGGCCTTCTCACACATCTCTCCTTGGGTGAGCACATCCACACCCAGGCTCTCTCATGAGCTCTCCACCAGTGACTCTTAACTCTGTTTCAACTCCCCCCTTGGCAGCAGATATCTTGTATCACCGTTTCTTACCCTGAAATGAAATGACATACATATGCATATAATTCCCAGAAGAAAACCATCCCAATGCTAATTAAAATATCAGAGCAGGGCATCATTATAGGCTAGTGATAAAGTGCACAGAAACTGGTTCAAATCCTGGCTTCTACACTTCCCAGCTGTGTGACCTTGGGTAAGTCACTTAACCTCTCTCTGCCTCAGTTAGCTCCCCAGTAAAAAAGGGATTTTTTTCCTATGCAGCACTCTATTGCATAGAGTCGTTATGAGGATTAAACGAGGAATTATTCATGGAGCATTTAGAACAGTGACTGGCACATGTTAAGAGCTAAGTGAGTTTTGGTTAAACTAATAAGGAAAGTAATTGAAGATGATATGTATTTCAAGTAAGAAATACTTTTATTGACTCCACTCTAAAAGAATGTCAAGTTGGCAACTCAAACACCACAATAGCATTGACTTTAAGTACATAATATTTCGGTATGGTGACAATTCTGGGTAAGCCTCTGAACAAGAGAAAGAGCAATCGTCCTTCAGTTTACAGGGAAGTTGTATTTCCAGCAAATTCAGCATATGTTAAAATGCACAGCATTCATGCAAAGATGCTCTGTATTTATATGCGAGACTTGGGCTCAGCTCAGATACAAACAGGTCTTTTTTTCCTGTACGTGGATGTCTGGCAGGACGGTCAAAGCCAAAATGGCACTCTTCATGCCTTCAGGGACTGTCCTGCACACTGAAGGGTGTCCAGTATCCCAAACCCCACCCACTAAGGGCCAGTTGCTCCCCTCCCTCCAGTCATCATGAAAACTGAAAGCACCCCCTATGCCCAAAACAGTGCCCAGGAGGTCCCTGGGTTCTATACCAACTACCAGAGGGACTTTTCCAAATGCCAAATTGTGTCTCCTACCTGTTAACTCCTAGTTACCCTCAGGCCAAGTCCAAATTCCTGAGTCCTCATAACTGAGCCCCCTGCTTCCTCCCCACTGAGCAAATCCACACCATCACCCCACCACTCCCTTACCCACTACACACTCAGGGAGCATAGCAGGTGATTAATACATAACAGGGCCTTCAGCCCTGGCCCTTGGGGATCTCACATCTAGTGGAAAGGTGGACACACGGACTTTGCTGGGAGGCGCTTACTCAGAACCTGATGGGGGCCCCAAGGACAGAGAGGTCAGCTGCCAGGCAGCAGTTTCCCAGAGGAGGTAGGGCCTTGGAGTGTGAATAGGAGTTTTCCAGGTAGACATGAGGCAGAAGGCTGCCTGGCTGCAGACCCAGCAAGGGCAAGGGTCAGGTGTGAGAGAAGGCATCGTGCCTTCAGTGACTGCAGACAGGTGAGTATTACCTGAGGGCAGGATGAGGAGGGGCTGTGATCAGAGGTGAGGCTGGTGCGCCAGCAGAGGAGGGCTTGTGCAGAGCTTGTAAGGTGCCGAGGAGATTGGGCTTTGTCCTGGGGGCACTGGGGAGCCATGGAAGGGGTTGAAGCAGGGAGGGTGACACAGTCAGGTTTGCATGTGGCAGAGTTCCCTCTGGGAGGAGTGTGGAAGGTGCAGAAGGATTCCAGGGAAAGGTCACAGGCCTGACTTAGGGCAGAGGACGGTGAAGAGCAGAGGTGGGCATTTGTGGGGCAGAAACAGCAGAACTTGGTGTCTGCTGGGGCTGAGAGAGAGTAAGAAACAGTGTCCCAAGTATCCCAGCTTGGAGAGAGAGAGAGAGAGAGAGAGAGAGAGAGAGAGAGACACACACACACACACACCACCACCACCCACCCACCCCCCAGTGATGAAGATGGAAACAGGAGCTGGCCAGATGGCTTAGGGAGGGTGGTCCAGACAAACCCAGTCTTCCTGACTAAATGACAGGCTGCAGGCCCTTCTTGTGACACTAGAGGGAGCTCCAGGATAGGATAAGCTCCCCCCTCCTGCCAGCAGCCAGTCTCCACCCCTTCCCAGAGGGGGGTAGGACCCACCCACCGCTCAGATGTGCAGGCTCTGGGGTTCCTGCCAGGGCCTGGACCAAGTCCAGTGGCTCACAGTCTTGGGCCATCTCATCCTCCAGCCACCAGGTTTGTGGGACAGGGGAAGGGGGCATTTCTTGAGCTGGGAGTAGGTGGAAGCAGAGGTCAGCAACTGCAGGCAAGAAGTACAGATCCTACCCTGTCTCACCCTGCGCCCTGCCCCCTAGCCCCCTGGGGAGAAGGGGGGCAACCCCCATCCCAGCCAGAACTGCTGCCCCAGCGGGGGACAGAAATGGACCAGAGCTCCCTAAGGTAGAGCAGCCAGCAAACAAACTGGAAGAGTGTAAGCGACCTTTCCTATGAAAACTTGAGGAGTGGGGGGCCTTCCCATGAGCCACCTCCCTAAGCAACCCACGGTCCCCGGGGCGTGCGGGGGGAGAGCATTCCTGACCGCAGGCATCCGCAGGCCG